GTAGCTATATTTTTAAAAGCTTCCTGATGATTCTAGTGGGCAGCTATGGTGGAGAACCACTGTTAAGAAGTTGGAAGGAGGAGAATGAAAAGAAATGTCTAGTGAAATAAGAGAAATGCATGCCAGTGGTAGCTTTAATCTATGCTTAATAATAAAAGAGGTAGCTCTATAAAACGTGGCCATTTCATTAAATTTAAAAGCATGTTATATTGCTCAGTTCAATACATAGTTTCTGGCTTATAAGGACCCTCAGGAGAAATTACTTTTTGGTCTTAATATCGGAAAATGTTTTATTTATCCTGAGAATGTGTTTATTTTTCATCTTAAAGACATTTAATTGGGTAACTAGTCCTTTTTTTTTTTCCTGCTCAAAAGCTCTCAGGATGAAATTAGTGAACTAGTCATAGAAAGTATAATTTATACTCAAATATTCACCAAACATATTTAGTACCAGTATATAAAAAGCAATGTGGTTGGCAATGAGAATATATCCATGGATTTAATGATAATTAATGCCTAAGGTACCAGGGAGTGAGTGACAGGAGGAATGGCTGAAAAGGTAGGTTGGAGCAGACCACAATATCCTTATGAGTGATGCCTTGAACAATCAAGCTTAGAGACATCAAAAAGGGATTATTTGCGCTGGCAATAAATGCGCCTAAGGTCATGGTGGAAGAGGGAAAATGAAAGAGAAAGAGAAATATTTGCATTTCACTTTACATTTTAAATAATGTTTAATGTTAGTTTCAAGAGTGTAATAGACCCTGTTGTTTGACTGTATTTTCCAAGGACAGTGCTTTCTAGATCCTAGCTGGCTGAATTTTCAGCTTAGAAAACGAGACTAGAACGATTTTTTATTCTTTTCTATTTCTTTCTACTATGCAAACTCAAAGCTATAATTAGGTAGAGTGTAATCGACATGGAGGCATCACAAAACATAGTACCCAATATCTCATCATGAGGACTTCTAATTTAGAAGTAGTGAGATGAGAGGCACAGAAGCCAAATGCCTGCCATCTTCCCTGCCCCACTTTAACAACTGTTCATTCCACAGAGACAACAAACATCCCACTCCACTCCATTGCCCAGGCTGAGTCTCAGTCACGATTGCTTTGTACCATTCCTATATTCCGAGGCGTTACTATTTAGCTCCTCTCTTTGAAACCCAAGGGTGCTTTGCCCCACCTGGCACTCAGCTGAGCTTAATCACACGTGCCACACACAACACGATGCGTTGCCTCAGACATCCACTCCTTTATTACTACCTGAAGGCATCTCCTGTAGGTGGGAGATAATGCTCTTGGGCTGGCAAACAACTGAAACCAATTTTCACAAAAAAAAAAGCATCCCACTGGCAAAATATTATGTGGTTTTTCATTTAGATAGGATGCTCCTTGACTAAAAAATACCTGATATACAGAAAGTTTCAGCAGAAAGGCAGCTTGAGTGAAAAGCTGAACACAACGCAGAAGTAGTGCTTTGAGTAAACACAGCATCCAAAGATGAATCCGGAAGATGCAGACTATTATCTTCTGGAAACAGAGAACTAAGTCTTTTTTCACCCCTGTACCCCCCAGCATTTTATAGAGAGTAAATACTGAATGCATATTGCCTGAATGAAATCAAGAACATCCCTGGACCCATAGGACTCTAAGCAAAATCAATTGGTTGCTGGCCCTTTTTAAAAAAGTCTCAGCATCAATGCCACTGCAACACCACCACAAGCTTTTAGTTAAAGGAGGTGCATGAACTCCATGTTGCGCCTATTTCAGGGGATCTATTTAGATGAGATGTCCTATATAAAATACAAAAATATGCAGGAAGGAACTTGCTAATTTTCTAAAAAATTTGAAATAAAATTAGATTCTGTATTCCCTTGGTGACAATTAATAATCATAATGCTTTGTCATTATGACACTTTGTTATCTCGAAGGAAAAAAAACTGTTTTGGAGAAATTGCAGAACTTCCCTTTTGCTTCCCCATGGTAAAGCTAAACATAAAGATGTGCTAAAGCCAATGGTATTCAGTTTTCATACTGAAAGAAGGTGAAACTGGATAGATTACTACATACAAAGAATTTAAAAGAATGCACCATGATCTCTAGGTGGGCACGGTGATACTCGAACAACCTAAGTCATAGGGCTCATGAGAAGAAACTCTCCATTGTCTGTCTCTTTATGTACCCAATTACCAGAGGCTTCCCCAAGCAAACAGAATTTTGCTTAAGGATGCCAAATTTTATTTTGCGCCACTGTGCTCTCTCAGATGTTATACTGAAGAAGATATTAATATTATATGCATTTTGTTATAAACCACTCATATTGGTATGTCATGCCTACTGCCATCAGCACCAAGACTTTAAGCTCTTGGAGGACAGGAACCACACTAACCTACTCCGTATAAACTACATAGTGGTCTAATGCCATGTCCTCTACAGAGCCTTCTGCAATGACATGTCCTCAGCAGAAGGTGATCACCCTGCAGTATGCTGCTGTATTGAGTACTAGCACTACTCCTTAACCTCAAGATTTGAGCACATTCTCAGTCCTCTAAATATTTCAAGCCTTTTAAGGATGAAAAGAAGCTCTTTCTTGCAAAACAGCTGGGATCCACATCCTAAATAATCAAGACTAAAAGCTAGCCATGAGTAGATGTATATTAATCAAAAGAAACTACAGCATAGCCATTTTTCTTCTAGTGCAATTATCTTTAGCTTTAAGACACAAATGAATCATTAGGGTCTCAATTCCTTCTGGCAAGGAGGTAAAGCGTGAGTTGAATGCTCAACATTGTGAGTGTCATCAGAACAAGTTCTATGGATATAAATTGGCCGAGTTAATCCTATTTCATTATCTCTATTAACTAACAATGCACATGTAGTTATTATACATAATTACTGTTCTAACAGACATGGATGTTTGAAATATTAACTTTCCCACAGACTCCAAATCTTTGGTAAGCAGCTCTCAACGATTCATTATATTAGTCATATATGTCACATACTCCTATTAAATATGCATGAGATTAAATACCACCCATGTTACAAACTGTCCAACATCATTTTTAGTATAATTTATTACCTTTTAGGTATTATAATTATAACGGCACTTAAGTGCCGTTATAATAAATGTAAATTTAACTACCTGGCTTGGAAGTAATCAGTACTACAACTAATTCCATTTTTATCATGCATTCAAGTAAGAATATTTTATAACACAAAGCATAAAATATTTATAAAGTTAATATGCTTTACAACATAGGGATGTCTAATTTAAAATTTCATGAATAAAAGATAAATTAACTTTCTTAGATACTTTATAGACAAATTTAAAATTTAAATGCATCAAGAAATTAGAATGCAATATATTGTTATAAGAAAAAAATACATTCTAAAGTATGATTTGGACTATTATGACGTCATATTTTTAATCAAATACTTTACAGGTTTTATAAGTTCTACATTTATGCAAATTATTACCATAAAGCTAGATTTGATCGAAAATAAACCAAACATAAAACCCACCAGAAAAAAAAATTCAAATGAAGGCGAAAAATACATCATTAACCTTGGATCATGTTACTCTAAACTTTATGGTTAGTATGGCCACAGATTATTAACTTAAGCATAATAATGGAAATAATAGTAATAGGCACAGTTCACATGTACCAAGGGCTTACTTAACTTATTGTGTCAAGCACTATAATTAGTGCTTTACATTTGTATCTCATTTAATTTTCACAATAATCCAGTGAAGGAGATGTTACTATGATAGGCATTTTACAGGTGAAGGAAGTAGAGGCTTACACAGATCAGACACAGGGCTTGGCAGGAGAGAGGTCTGACTCCAAGTCTCTCCTCCTGACCGTATCGTCAGCACCCAGCTCACAGCTCTGATCCACTGCTTCCTTGTGCAGCCTTGGGTAAGTCACCTGAAGTCTCTAAAATACTTCTTTTAGTTGCAAAGTGCAAATAATATTAATATATGCCAGAATTATTAAGAAATAAGATAGTTTATGAGAAAGTATTGTGCAAGTTGCATAGCTATGTTATTGTTATGTTATTGATGAGATAAGAAAATGAAATGTTGAAAATAAAAAAAAAAACTGCTTATTAGCTATTGGTCAAAATTTTCTAACAAAAATAGTATACCTAGGTAAACTTTCCCAGTTGTTTTACCTTGATTAACATAGAAACTATTACATAAAGGCAAACATGAATCAATATCTTCATTATACTCTAAGAGATAGACAGGTAAGCACTAATAGACTTCAGTTATAAGTGAAGTAAAACCAGAAATATAACTTTGTAGATGGTTACCATGAAAACTGTGATCATCCCATCAGATTTGGCCTTTCTTCAAAAGAGCTCTTCAAAACTAAGGCTTTTTAAAGTTACCTGGAGCACTATCAGGCTCTAATTTACTATGATCCACATACACATTTTGATTTGTGGCAATACTTAAATCCTTAGGTCCAGGAAGAAAAAGTAATACTCAAAGCTCTCATCATTCATCATTTTAAATAAGTAATATATTATACTCAAGCTAACTTTTTCATTTCATATGCATTATGTCAACCCAGATCTAAAACAAGTATCTTAAATTTGAGATTAAGAAACTTGAATTCACCAAGGTTAATAATAAGAAATATATACATTTATGTTGGTATTATGTGTATGTGTGTGTATGAGCAGGCAGATGCCTATCAACATGTGATTTTATGTATCAAGTGGTTTTCCACCTTTTTAAAGGTCTATATTGCTAATGATTTAAAGAAAGTATACACAGCCAAAAGGAAAAATAGGAACGAAAGGGTCACATATTTCCAGTAATTCTTTTATTCACTTTCAAGGCGTTCATGTCATTAGATGAGAAATAACGAATACCTTTATTTGCATACCTACAAATACACTAACTCACAATTTCAAACAATTTTGTTTGATGATTTCAAGAAGTAAGAAAATTGTAAAAGTATATAGAATTCCCAAGGCGCCACTTACCTCCAGGCCGTTCGTGTTCTCCATCGGTATGTAAAAGCATGGCGATGGGCATCCCTACATTCTTGGATCGTCCAGCCACAACCACATTTTTTCCAAATGTTTCAATTCCTTAAAATACAGAGTTTAATTTAAATAAAGAATGAACAACAAGAAGCAAATTAAAAATTTGAACAACCAACTGAAACATTCTTTAAAAACTTTTAATTAAATTTGAATTATTGCACGGCTTATCTATAATGTATCCACATTCATTATTTATAAATATTTCATTTTACACTTCATGAATTTGTCACTTTCTCTCTGACTATGTCTCATTAAAAAACCACAAATATTTTCAAGTTGGCATTAAATTTCTTTTAAACATTGAGATTCACATGAAGAGTTAGAAGTCCAGAGACTTAAAATATACTAACCACTAATTACAAAGTAAGCAAAGAACAACAATGTCAAGTTTAACTGGCAATCACGCTTTGAGCATAACTGGGTCAAAATGAAGTGGGGAAAAGAAAAGTTTTTTCACAAAGCTCATGCACTTTAGTCCATTGGAGAGATGCACTAAACTTAGGGACTTAAAGGGTATGAAAGATAAAACTTGCAAATTTAACACACTTTACCTCTTTTGGGCATAGTTTCTTCATAAGTAATAAGAAGAAGTTAGAATTAAGGTTTTTCCAAGAACTAACATTCTAAGACTATGATTCTAGGATCTGCTTTCCTTGGAAATTTTCTCCTTCAGTTAGAAAACAGCAGACTAGAAAGGAGACAATGCTGTTAGAAATGGAAGTGACAGTGACAGAGGCAGGAGAATCGTCAATATAAAAGGCAACATGGGGTTAATTACTGTAGAGGTAAACATCTCTAGGGTCCATGAGAGCTTTACAGATGGCATCTAGAACACAATTCGAGGGTAAATGTTTATATTAAAAACCTAGGTCATTAGAGATGGTTCAAATAAGTTCAGCACATTTTCTAAAAGTAAGGGAAAATATAATACATTTTGGAAAATGTACATAAAAATATATTGTTTTTAGTTTAAAAGTAGGGAGGTAAACCTACTATTTAGAAAATTCACTCCCTATAACATGTAAAAGCAGTTTTATATACCCTCAATTTATTTTATTTTGGATTATTCTTTGACTTCTCTAACTTTATATCTTTCTACAGATTAAGTTTTATGGATTATCACATTCTTTCACTCAGTGGGACTGAGATGGTTCTATCAAGACTACACACGAATGCTTGGTTTGGCAGTTAGCATCCATGTCCTGTAGACTACAAGTTACCAACCTGTTCTTTTGATTATTTCCCAAACAGCACTGGCAGTGGCAGGTATGAGAGAATGCTGATCAAGGCACAGTCTTCCAATATTGATAATATGAAATCCATCTACATCTTTTTCAGGGGCAATTCCATTACAAACTGTTCGCTCATCCACATGGTCTGAAAAGTAAATGAAATTGGTCTAATTTTACAATTGTTTTTTATTTGAAGTTCTGAAAAATGAAATCTGAGGATCTACAACCAGTTCACTTATGACTCAGCTTCAGTAAAGGTGTAAAATAATTATTCTGTTCCTTTTCTTGCCACCAAAACAGTAAACCAAAGTGCTCTTGACCAATGGCTGTAATTAACTGCTGTAAGAGAATATACTATAAGAGAATATGCAAGTGTAGGGCCAGAAGTGGCTGGCCTAGTGAGAGGGAAAAACTTTGTGAGATAAAACAATACCAATGAGAACTGGGAACAGCCAGGTGAAGTCTTTGCCTTAGTAAGTTTGCATATTTAAATCTATGTTTTTACTATATGAGATATTTTCATGAATAGGCTTCCATTAAATATTTCTAGCATTACAGATTAAGAGGGCTTAATCTGTCATATTATTAGTGCCTAGCTTCCTCCCAAATGACAGAACAAAAAAGCAAATATAAAACACACACATACACACACACATTTCCCTTAAATACTAGCACAGTGAAATCCAAGGTGTCATTATAGTTTCCTATATGAAAGGAAAAGAACATAACTTGAGTAATTAAATAATTAAATGAGATGTGAGATGTCAATCATCTCATTTTGAAAATAAGTATAGAAATATCAAATAGGCTCTTACCACTCTACGCAAATAGCTTCACTTACCCTAAACCCAATGATTAACCCATGTATAAAATGTTAAAATAAAGGTATATTTGCTACATCAAAGTTTCTTTGATCATTATACAATGAATGCCATTCAGACATAATTTTCGAAAATATTATCAAAGATCAAGTTCGAATTGTTTTCAAAGATTTAGGCCTTGTATCTTAGATCTTTTATATTCTAAAAGTGATACTACTGCCGTCTTATTTTAAATAGATCCAATTTGCCTTTATTAGACTACCAAAGTCTTTTACATATACAAAAGTAGTACTTTGAACCATATTCAAATAGAAATTGGGTCTTTCCAATCAACAGTTTCTCACTTTCAAGAACTATACTCATTCTATAATGCTCTAACAGTAAGAACTTCATTTGTTTTCTTTGAAATTAGAAGACAATTATATAGGTTCTAGTAAAACTTTTAAAAATTAAGTGTTTAATTTATTATTGAGGACAAAAATAGTTGTTCCTTTTAAAATCTGGATAATGATAATAATGATAATGGCGATGGTGATGACCTTGATGATTCATTTTTAAGACACCTATCACTCATGCAGGAGGTTCATGCTATGAGTATTTTTTAAAACAAAATCAAAAGCTTTGTAAATGGAAAAATAAACAACTGTATTTGAAATCTCCATTATTGAGCTAGGGCTTAAATTAGTTCATTCCTAAGTTCAAAATTGGCTAATGTATGTATGGATTAGCCATTGATTGAAAGAACTCAACAAAGGCTCTTTTATAGATATTTGAGAGCCATTCTCTTACCAACAAGCCTGAGCGACACTGAATTTCCCCATCTACTGGTCTGTACTGTTTCATTCACTAAAAATAACATTAAGTTGTAAATAATTCATCTCACACAACAGCTGAAGAAGAAGAAGAAATGTATGCATCTGAAAATTTGGAGGCAAGTACTAGAGACTGATTATTACAGATCTGTCTTGTTATATATTTCTTAACCTTTAAATCACCACTTCGGAAAAATTTTGTCTTGAGCTACTTAGATAAGTTTTTAAAAGACAAATGTTTGGACATACAAAAGATATGATGTAGGGAACACACGAAAACTGATTATTCATAAATTGGTTATTTAATATAAAAATAAAAGAGCTTATATGAGAAAATTAAAAATGTTAACATCATAAAATCAATGAAACCAATTCAGATGTCATTTTTATATTAACTCTATGTTAGCTCAGCAATGGATAAATCTCACATACATCCTTTGCCAGGTGAGATGTATCTTTTATTTTATAAGGTACAGTATGTGGCAATAATATGAATTAGTATATCTTACATTTAAATAGTGCTTTAATTTGTACGTGTTGCCATCACATCAGTTTCCTCACTGATCTTCAGTTACTGAGGCTAAGATAGAAAAGGTATTATCATCTCGATTTAAAAGATGAAGCTCAAAGAGTTTGAGACTCAAACTCAAACCACTACTAAGAGGAGGATCCATAAATCAAATCCACATTTTTTTGCTCTAAAACCAGTGTTTCCTTCTGTATTATGTAGAAAGCTATAAATATTAAGCATTTTAAATACTGCTCAAAAATTAAAATTATACAGGACCTCCTATCTCTTCTAATCAAGACATTTGATCATTCTAAAATATCCCAAGAAATATAGTTTCTTCTAGGCCTCCAACTATAACACTATTCCTAGATTAACTAATGTGTCTAAAACAAGCCAAAAAAAGCATCAAACATTTTACAACCAATACTACCTTCTGTTATATAAGAGAATTAAATACATCGCATGCTTTTGACTGACTGCTACTAAAAGCCTCTTGATGTCTCACCCATGGGACCCATGATTGAAAGAGAAGAAATAATCATAAGATTCAAGAGAATCAATTTTTTCACAATGGTTATAAAGCATTTTTTATTCATAATCCATTGGCAAACAAACTAACCATCACTATCCTACCCAAATGAATGGGAAAACTGGCATTTATTTTGTAAGTGTATGTTGTTCCCTTCTATTTAAGATCATGAGAATTCATTAAATCACTCCAGAAAAAAAATCATCAAATTAATTAAATTCATAACACTGCAAAAGAACAACTCAGAGAATGTCTTGAGGGACACACTGTAGAACAACACTGAACACATACTTTTGTGATTTATTTGTAATGTTTAATTGCCTTTGACAAGGAACAGGAAAAAAAAAACAATGAAACAAATTACTGGTTATTTTCTACCCAGGGATTTTTATATTACTGCTTAGGAGTACCTCTTTCCACTTTACTAATAATGCCTATTGGATAAGTGTAGCTCATTAGAATAGTAAATAATATATTCTTTAGCTTGATTATATCTTTTCCCCATCATTTCCTCTCTTCAAGTGCTCTACTCCTTTTCCAACCATCACCATTACACATCTTTAACTTAGTCACAACAAACTGTGTCCCATTCCCAAGCTCTTAGCATTAATTTTTGCATTTCTGTGCTATTGCTCATGATTATTTTTCCATTACAAATTCCTTCCTCCCTGTTCTTTCACATCCTGTCCTTCAATACACTGATCCATTATCACCTGATCCTTTCACGCAAATTGAAATGATACTGTTTTCTCCTCTGCTCTCCCACAGAAGTACTATAAAATATTCTTAACATATTAGTTCAGTTAGTTGAGCACATTATTTAATTATCTCTCTCACTTATGAATGGGAGCTAAGGATGGCAATTTCATCCTTTTGTGCCACTTGCCCCAAACAAACAAACAAACGAACAAACAAAAACCCTAAAGTATTTCTGAACACCTCACTTTCATTCACACTTAATATTCAATCAGTTGGAAAATCTGTTGGCTTTCCATTCATAACATATCTAGCACTTCACTCTCTCACCACGTTCGTTGATACCACTCTGGTTTGAGTGGCCATTATCTTTCCTGTGAATTCTTACAACAGCCTCCTAATTAATTTTCTGCTTCTACATTTGCATCAATACAATCTATTGACAAAATAACAGGTGTTATATTTTTGAAACACATGTCTGATCACAGCACTCTTCCTCAATCCCTGCTCTACTTACTGTTCCTTCAACATAATCCACTTCTGCTATCCTCTCCTGGAGGCTTTTCAAAAAACAAACAAACAAACAAACAAACAAACCTGTCATTTTGGCTAAATTCCTCTCTTCTTTCAAATCTTTGCTTAAATTGCACATTCTCTTTAAGGACTATTCTGACCACATTATTTAAATATTTATGTTCTATGCTTGATAATGTCTAAATCATTTGTAGTGGACTAAACTTCTCACAGTCTACAATTTTGAACACTGGAAAAATTATATTAAAAAACAACTGTATGAAAACACTGAGAGTCTCTAAAGGTAGACAGATTTGGAAGAGAATGGATATCTGAAAGAAAGAAATGTCACTGAAAGAGTTTCCCATTTGGGAGGCTTTTCTAGACACAAGACAGCTAGAATTTGGATAGAAATCTGGTCTTACTTGCATAAGGAATCAAAGGACACTGGAAACTGAAGGATATAACCAGGAAAAGAGACAGCCACAGAGGAGAGACTCAAATTGTGTCTACAAATTTTGCTCAAATCTCTGACCCCTGAACAACACACATGGGAGGCAAACTCCAAGGAGTTTATCTAAGGCTAAAAGAATTAAACAGACTGCAGCTCTGGCTCACCAAGAGCAAAGTAAAGCTTTAAGTCCTCAATATGATAGGCATTTACAAAAAAAAAAAAAAAAAATTACAGCTATCATTATACTTAATAATGAAATACTGAACCTTTTCCCTCAAGATCAGAAGAAGGCAAGGGTGTCCACTCCCACCATTCTATTCATTGCTTAATTGGAGAGTCTAGCTGGTGTGATAAGATAAGGAAAAGAAAAAAGAGGCCTAAAGATCAGAAAAGAAGTAAAACTCTCTAGTCACAAATGGCATGGTTGTTTATACAGAATACCCTAAAAAATTTACAAACCAACAAAAGAACTAATAAAGTAAATTAAGCAAGATCACTAAATTCAAAGTCAATATACAAAAAGTCAATTGTATTTTTATATACAAGAAGCAACTACTGGAAAACAAAATTTTAAAACCTCTATTTACAATACTTGCAAATCACAAAATGCTTAGGAGTAAATTTTAAAATTTTGAAGATAACCTCTATAATAAAAACTATAAAACACTGCTGGATGTCAATTATTCTAAATCAAGCTACAGATTCAATGTAATCTCAATCATAATCCTACCAGGTCTTTTGATAGAAGCTGACAAACTAATTCGAAAATTTATATGGCTATGTAAAAGACTTAGAATATCCAAAACAAT